TATTTATTCATTTGGATTGAATTGTTTGAAGAAGACAAATATCCCTTCAGCCATGCCTGTCTGTATTCTTTTTTCCTCAATGTTGGCATTCTAAGGGAAATAGTAAATTAATTTTGCATCTTGTTGATCCTTGGTTTATTTTAATCAGATTACTTGTTCGGAAGGCTTTGGAACTGTAGGGATTGCCAAAGGATTAAACATGAATAAGGCTTTCAACTAGAAATCGAATTAAAGTTGGTCCTAATTCATCTATTTAATAATTAATCAATTGATTTAATATAAATATATGGATATCATTTTATTAACATGTTGCATACAGGACAGACAAAAGAATGCTATATATGATTTATTATGCACTCATAATGAAATGCATGGTTAGCCTTGCATTCTAATTGGATAATGCATTCTTTGATCTAAATTGGATGTTAACATATTTAGCAATTTTCATAAATTTAATCAGAAATCATTGACTTCTTCCTTAAGCGCTTTTAGAGAATATGTCGATTAAATCGCTTAGCTAATTTTCCTATTGATATTAATATTACGATAAACGGAAACAAAATTGGTGTGATTAAAATGTATGAATATTTTTTTATATACTAAAAATTTCTTTTGATTGAAAATCCAACAAATCCAATCATTATTATTAATTCGTCAATCTAAAAAGAATTTTATTAACAATTTATTATCAATATCAAAATTGCAGAAAGTAAAAGAATAAAGTCTAATAAGTGTTCGATTGTTTGGAAAATTTATTGACTATAATCTAACTTAGTTAGTAATTCTGGAAATAAAATTCCTTCATTTATATGAGTTATCTCATTGACTGATGTCTAATTTTCAATCCCCGTCAAATCTTAAAGTTCTAAGTCATTTTCCTACTTTTAAATTACATTTCTCCAAAGTGCAATTATTATATGGTTTTCATTGATAAGGCGAATTTATTGGTTGATTAATATTGCTTTTAGTAAGTGCAAAATGAATAATGAAATTATCCATACATTATAGCAGAAGTGTAATTTAATGTGATTTGACTCCGAATCATTGAAGTTCCCAAGAAATATTACAAGAATTATAAAACAAAAAAGACAAGAAAACTTAAATTACTTATTGATCTATTCTTGAAAATTATGAATTTTTTCTTCAAATTGCTAGTTAAAGTCTTGTTTTATCAATTTTAAGGTTGCCGAATCATATTACATGATAAAAATTAATAATAAATAATAACATTTCGTTTTATGTTTAAGAAAGATTAGTGCAAATATCCACTTAACAAGAACTCAATAGATATATTCATCATATATTTATTCGATAAATTTTAATATTTAAGTTAAAAAGAAAAATGAGTTCTCATATTTGCTTTCTATAAATAATTGATTATTACTAAGTAATTAAACAAAAATTAAATGCCAGAACTATAAACAAACATAATTATTAAATTTCATAGAATTATATATTCCTCAATTATTTTATATTATCATATAGATAAAAGCACTTATTTATACTCATTCTTGTATGTCCATATTTTTATGATTAAATCATCTACAGAATTTATTATTTAATATTTGTATTATTTCAGTATTGTAACTTTAATCAAATAGATCAAATATGAGAAGAGTTTAATCAGCAGCCCCTAATTTAGGTAAAATAACTAATTCATCAATAGAATTTTCAATGGAAGACATGTTCAGAATAGCTACAAAACAAACATCTGCTTTTGGAATTGAAGGATATGAAGTTCCAAAAAAATATGCCGATCCACTTAAGCAAATGGAGGATAGAAAATTTTCAGCATAAAAGAAAGGTAAGTTATGTGCATGTTATTTCAAGGTTAAAAAAATTTAGGATATGTTACTAAAAGAGGACACTATTTAGAAGATCAAAAGAAAATATATGAGAAACTGCCTGCCCCAAATAAGTACGATATTGTTAAGCCTTGGGTGATTTAGGCTTAAAGCACTCGATCAAGGTCAGCTCCACCAAAAAGGTAGTTTTATTGATAATTATTAGAACAACTTTCATTGACTAAATATTCAAGGAGGCTAAATTAAGAGGAGTTCCAGGTTCTGGTAAATATAACGTTGAAAAACCTTTGGACGAAGTATTAAAACAAGTGGAAGAATAAAAAAAGAAAAAAATTGAGTATTCTCTAAATATTATTATTTTTAGAGCAGCTGACAGACCTACTTATTTAAATGAAATATAACACTTAGCTGTAATTAATCCAGGTCCAGGAAATTATAATCCCAGAGTATTATCATTATACTAGGCTAGCCAATATCAAAAAAATTAAAGAAAAATGAAACCAAACCTTCTGATTTTATAACTAAACATTAAGAGTAAGCTAAAAAAAGGGGAAAATCAGCACTGCCTGACGTAGGCTCATATAATCCAGAACCACTCTCATTTACTACTTTTAATAAATTATCAGTAAATACCAAAAAAAAAGAAAGAGTAGATAAACATGTAAATATTAATAATTTATTAAGACTTTTGGTACTGATGTGAGGTTCAAAGATCCAAAAAAGAGTAAATCAAAATAATCCTTATTACCTGGACCTGGATAATACCCTTTAATTGTCTAATGGTAAGGTAAAGACCAAGACAAATCCAAAGCAAAGATAAAAAGTTATATGCAATCTACTACTAAGGGAATAGAGCGATCAATATATTATTGACATTATGATTATATTTTTATTAAATTTAAATGCATTTTCCTATTATTGGTTGTAATATCATTATATATGATTTCTAAATGATTTATTATTGATAGTTTGTTGAAATTTTCAATCATAGATAGAAAAATTAATTTGAAAATTAAAATTGGTTAAAATTATCTTTATTTTTATGAATTTGTTCCTTAATTAAAGAATAAAAATTTCAATTATAATTATTAATTTCATTTATGTTAAAGTTATTTAAATATTATTTATAAGTCTTTTTGTTTTAATAACCTAATTCTTATATTGATAGTACTTTTATAATCATTTAGAATTTTTCAACTTTATACAATCTGTATTTTAAAAATGGCTATTAAATATCAACTCTATTAATTTGATATGTTATTTATTAATATATGATTTGATAAATATATGAATCTTGATTTCAACACTACCTGAGCATATAGACAGGCAAAATTTCGAATTAATTTTTGGTGTTTTTTAAAATCATAATGATAATTTTAAATGATATTTCATCAATATATTTTTAAATTCCTGCTTTTAGATTCTTTAAATTAAATTTAATTGAATAATAAATCTGCAACTCTATCAACAAACCTTTAATGAAATAAACCCCTTTGACAAAAATTTAATGTAATTCATCAAATAAACATAATTTCTTCAATCCTGGTTTAATTTCTTTATAAGAATGATTTTAACTTTAGATCAAAATATATTTGATATTCAAAATTGCATTTTTATATATAAAATATAAAATAATTGAAGATTATGTAAAACTAAGAATTTCTCATACTTAATTCTTGAATATCTTTATAAAATATTTATAATGATTGTTTATTCTATTCAAATGGATTTGGATATAAAAATATTTAATTATATCATTGCAATTCAAAAAAATAACCAACTATGATTCATAAGAGTAAACTTAAATATCTCCTGAGCTTCCTATAATTTTCTCTCATTACCTTACCTACGGCATGAACGAGAATAAAAACATGGAACTGCAGCTACAAAGTGGTTATCAAATTTGTGAATTTTAAAACCAATCGATTGAAAGACAATCGTAGATTATAACCATCTAGATGTATGCTTCGTTTCATCCTCCAACCTCAAATTCTAATGTTCTATAAGTTTATATATTTATTGAAAACTATTTAGGACTTCTTCTTCATAATCTTCATTTAATGCTTCAATTAAATCCGGTAAATATTGCCATGTTGCAGACTAGAAAGCATCAAAGTCCTTCTTTTGAGAGGCCAAATCCTATTCAATCGCATAGATGATACGCAAGCCTAATGTATGACCAACTAATTATGCTTTTAAAATATTGATTGCTTAATTAAAAAAATTTGCTAATCTAAATGAATACTATTTTTCACACAAATGTATTATTTCAAGCATCAACCATACAAATAAATATAAAGTGATTTAAGAGTTAGGCATTTATTTTAAAAGATCGATATTTTTACTAAAAGTTTCAACACTTTCTAAATTGTCTTCCTAGATTTGCAATGAAAATAAATGATGAAAAAGAGTAAATTAATTATAGATGCAATCTTTTTCTACTATCTTAATTGCTTTATAAAAATAAAGCTTAGCCTTACTGAATTAACCTTTATAGATGAGGAATCTTGAATAATAATCATAAATAATCCAATTAAAATAATATCCTTCTAGATTCTATTCAATAAATTGTATAAATTCTTCTATGAATACTAAATATTCATCATGATACGACATTATTTCGCAAGATATCCATCCTTAATAAAAGATAGTATATTTATCGTAATTCCGTTTTTACATCAATTTAATAAGCGTGTCCTGTGATGAAAAAAAATTCTCTGGACAAAAGTCAAACACTTTAATGTATTTAAAAAAATCGAAATTGAAAGGCTCTTATTAATTGCTATTTTTGAATGTATTGAGGTCATCAAAAAATATGTTATTCTTTCGATCGTAAAGTCTATTAAATATACATTTCGATTAGTCTTACCAAATCGAGTCTATCAATATATACTTCCATTCCATTAAGATCTAATGAATGTCCTTATAGTAGAGAAAGTATGGTATGATTTCTTCTCTAATGTTTATCCATTGGCCATTCAATCTGGCCTTCAAACAAATAAACTTAAGTAGCATTTCATCATTCTCTAATTCCATTTCATTTTGTATACTATTTATGGCTTCCTTAGCCTACTCCCATTCGCCAATTATGTAGAGTAACTCTGCCTCCTAGAATTTTAAACTGCAGTTCGGTGTATTTAAAACTGCTTGATATCCCTAACAAAGCATCAATTAGAGCATCCTCTAACCTCTCTTCTCTAAAACATCATAGTATAGGTCATATTCAAATTTAGATAAATCCTCAAATGATATTTCTTCAAAGATCTCCTATGCTGAATATTGAAAAGTATATTTATCTACAAAGGAATCCAAAATCATAGTTTTTTTTAAAAATTCTTATTCACGATAATCGCTTTGATTAGCTAGATTCATCATACATTAAGTCCAATAGTTCATATCTTTACTGTAAGGTAAGTCTTATAAATCCCGATATGCTTTGTATTAGCAACTAAGTTTGAAATTCTTTTCCAACTTCATTTTGAGATATTCAGTGCTTAAGATTGGCTCCTAAATTACTGCAGTTCTAATGAATTTTTGTTATAGAAATTATGATTTTATAGTGAGATAATCTTTATTATAAAGTGAATTAATCTTCGGATGCACTAATTTCTATTGATCTAAAATCTATTATAAATCATTAATATTATCCTCAGGATAGAGTATCTAAAGCATTGTCAGTTGAAATGCATAAATATCTTTGTTAAATAAATTCATTTTGAATTTTTTTAAGTTATTGTTCAAGGCTTTTCTCACTTATTTTTGCATGTAAGCTCTAGTTCCAACAATAGGATATTCACCATAAGGAGTTGCGTATTAAATTGCACATCCAAAATCAGCTAAAACCCACCCATTTTTTTAAGTATTTATAATATTTTCCAATTTAATGTCATTATGAACAATTTTTAGAGAGTGAATTTTTAAAATACTATCTAAAATACAATCGAACAGATTATTGAATTGATCTTCTGTAAATTTCTTTAATTATATTTAATATTCTTTTAGGTTTCCCAATCCCAAATCCAAATATGCATACAATCGATAAGTGTTCATATATTTTTAGCTGATAAAAATTTTATTTTATATCTAGATGATGCATTCTGGGAATTGGATAGAAATTTATTTTTAAACTTTAAATTCTTCAGCCTGCATGATTACTTAATCGTAATTACAATTTATTTATACCTTCAAGGCTGCTGGTTAATTGTTTTTTGGATTTACAGTGGAGTACACAGATCCATAAGCTCCATTACCTAATAATAACCCATTTTCTAGGATATAATTTGCCCCTGCACTCTTACCATCATACACTTAATGCTAGTTGTAAGTGAATACATCTGGATATTTTTTTAGTAATTGAAATATAGTCCTCTCTAATAAGGATGCATAATCGGTATTCTAACTTCGATCTCCATTTAAGTATTGAGAATAATCAATTGTTTGAGTTTACTCTGATTGTTGCGATTGATTTTCTGAATTATTCATATGATAAATTTATTTTTTATTCAATAATTACAACCTACTTACCTAAAAGCTATACAATAAAATTTAAAATTTAAAAAGTTACATTCTACAAACTTCAATTTGATCTTCTTAAATAGAGGAATGAATAATTTTACAACGTGATATAGATATTTTAATCTCAATTTGTAGAGAAAAACTATTAGTTGACTGCCATTTAGCTATGTAAAACAAGTTGATTTTTATTTATTATTACACAAAGTTATTAGATTATATATATTTAGATGCTATTAGATGTAAATTCAACATCAACATCTGTAGACATAATATCATAAATAAACAAAATATTAATATTGATATTTACATCAATATTAATTTTCAATAAAAATTAACAGCAGCAACCTTCAGAAGATCATTCAGCTTCTTATATTGGCCGAGTTTACGATTACCCTTAATTTCCTGTTTTATTGGTCTGTATATTCCCCAGTGCCTTTTGAAAATCTTATTGTACTTATTAGGTTTTCCCCATTTTTTATAAAAGTGCCCTAAACATATAAAATCAAAAATACCTCTAGTGAGATAGAATATTGAATTATTGAAAAAAAAGTACCCCTACAAATAAGTAAATTACATATAATATTGATATTTTTATATTTATCGATGACGATAAAAAGAACAAAATAAATTTTCAATTTAATATTCATCTTAGTAATTAAATAAAACGAAAATATTATTAACTTGGTAGCTAAGTAGGAAAAGAACCCTGCTTTGATTAATAAATAATCTAAATATTGAAGAATTAGAAGAAGAGATAAATAAATTTGTTTTCTCTATTTAAATGTAGTATATTTTGGATTCATTTTTAAAAATAGAATATTATGAATAATAAAATATATTATTACTTGAATTAATACATATAAATTAATCTGATTTCAATAACAGTTTCTTTTCTGATTAATTTATTCCAATTCATCTGTAAGTAATAGAATAGGTTTTAAGAGCTTATTTCTATTATTTTAAAGTTTAAATAACATTTTTTTAATTAAAGATTGATTATTAATTCAAGGTTTTCTTATCGCGCAGATTTAGAAATCCTCAATATTCAGTGACTAGTCTAATTAGACTTATCGTCTTGAATTAGTTTGATATTCGTGAATGATTAATATAGTTAAGTTGAAGAATCCTATCTCTAAACATTTTTATTGAGTATCTATGCTGATAGATTCAATTGAAGTTTTGTGAATTTGATAACTTCTTATTCTTTTTCCTTTTACATGAGAATTTCTTTGGATTCTCCCTAAATTATTTAAAAAAAATAATTCTTCAATTTCTTCAAGGGTTTGTTTAATGGTATCCAAAAATTGATTTTGTAATTCTTTAAAATCATTCTATACAACTTTATCAATATAGAATGCTTCAAATAATTTGATGGAGTTTGTTTAAATATTATAATTTATGTGTAATAATAAAATCAAGCAGATGTATAATTTCCAACTTAATGTTCAAGTTCTGCTACCTTTTATGTTGCTGCAATTATCAATTACTAGATTTGACTTTTTTCTTTTTTTAATTCTGTAATTTAGCTTTGCAATTTAGAGTTCTCATCTTTTTGAGTATTAATAGCCTAGCTATATTTATAAATTACTTATCTCATATCTCTTAACATAGCATCTAGAGTTGGTTAAGTTGTATTCTTAATTTCTTCATTGTTATTTGTTATTCTTTGTTTCATGAGATGTAACTCCTATTTTAATTGATCAATCTCATGCTTGTAGCTTTATAGTAATTCATTAGATAACTCTGTAACATTCTTTTACTTACACAAGATTAATTACATTAACTAACAATAAGTGATTTTTAGCATTAGTGGCTGATTCTTAATCTAATTTAGAACTATGTGGCATTTGTTATTAAATTTCAGACATTTTATTATACATATAAACAAAAAATTCTTTAAAATAAAACGACATTCCATCATCAGAAAAAGGGAAACTTTGTTTTTTTTTTTGAAAAAAATGACATCTTTATTTATATTTTGACTTTATATGGTTAAAATCAAAGGCATATTTGGAATGTTTCTAGTGATTTTTTGCTTGATGATTCTCTTTTATCCTATTAATCCTTTTTTTCCTTTTTCTCTTTTATTTTTGATTGATCTTTTTATGATTTACTTTTTGATTTATCTTGACCTCTATACCTGACACGATATTAATGTTTTTTATACTGTCTTTCTGTTTAGAACTCTTTATTACAATGATCACAAGTTAAGGATACTTTCATTTTATTGGATTTTTCAATGGATTTTCCAATTTTCAATATAGTTTTTTCTTAATTCTATTTCTCTTCTTCAATTTCATCCTTTTGCTATACTCTTTTTTCAATTTATGGTTGAAGATTGATCTTTTCTGGAACCCTGGAAGTTAGATCTTCTATAATTAGAGATTATTTTTCGACTTTTTCATTCTTCATTTATCCATTTTATCCATCATTGTTTGTAATTTGTGATTGTAGTGAATCTATTTAAGAGGAGAGATCTGCACATTTTTCATACAGCATTGCAACTGTTTGAAAATGTTAGGTTAATGGAATGTATTTCATTTAATTAATTATTTTTGTGTAAAAAAGGAAGGACTTTAATTCTCTTTTTTCCTGAAATAATTTTTCAAGTAAATTTTTGATGGGTATTATTAAATTCAAGAGAACTGGCAATTTTTTAGAAGGATAGCTAATTTTTAACAAGTTTAATTAAATTGAAAAGCAAGAAGGATTTAAAAAATAAATAATATAAAAATTAAGCTAAAAATATTACAAAATTTATAGTTAAGTGAATTTTCATTTAATTATTTTAAGTTTTTATTATACTTCTTTAATTTTAGTAAATTCTGCCTGAACTCTTTTTTTCCATAAATCTTCATTCATTTCCAAAATTAATAATTTCTGATCTACTTCATCTTTTAATTTCTCCTCTTTTTCCACCTTGAGTTCTTTGAATGAAATAAGTTTCTCCTTTAATTAAAGTTATTACTCTTTTTCCTTTAATCTATTTTATTTTTCTTATTCAACATTAACTATCTTTTTCTCCTTCAAAATGATTCTATTTTTAAGAGATTGAATATTTTCAACTTCCAGTTGTAACTATTCTTGAAGTATTAGCAATTAAGATTGTCTGTCTTTGAGTAGAAGCTTGTCTTTCTCTAGTTTTTGCCAATCATTTAACAGCTAATTTAATAAAGGCAGATGTATACTTATTTTTCCTTTGACTTAATTTCAGTCTCATACTGTCTAATATTTTACATGGCTTCCCTTGCTTCCTTTAAGTCAGAGATCATTTGATTTTGAGATTTCTCCAATCTTTGAATCTCCTCATTCAACGACTCTATCTTTTTCAACTTAAATGTCAACTCTTCTCTATAATCTTCCTTCTCTCTGACAACCTTCTTTAATTGATATTTTAATTCTTCATTCTCTTCTTTCATTTAGACCATATCTGATCTAAGTCCTTGATTGTCTTGCAACAATTGATTCTACTCAATTGATCGCTTATCCAGTAAACCTTTGGTAATTTTGAGTTCCTCTCTTAACAATCTGACGTTGGCACTTTCTTGTATACTTAAATAGTCAGATGCAGATGTTTCATTCAAATGACTTTATTATTTATGAAATGAATCTCTACTTCGCCTAACAATTTCAGTCTAAGTGGTTTCTAAATAGGAGGAACTACGTTTAGGTTCAGTGATGAGTTTCTTTTAATGAGTGGATATCATATTCTTAATGAAACCAATTCGGTCCATAATCTAATAGGAGTGAGTCACATTCTGTTTCATAATTATATTAAATAAGCGTATATGTGTGGTTATTTGAAATTAAATAAAATCTTTTTTTATTATTCATGGGTATTTCAAGAGATAGCAGACACAAAAGAAGACTCACAGGTGGTCGTATGCCAATTCATAAGAAGAAGAGAGCTTTCGAGAAAGGAAGACAAGCTGCTATGACTAAATTAGTATCTGGCGAAAAGAGAGTTAGAAGATTGAGAGTCCGAGGAGGAAACTTTAAATTCAGAGCTCTTCGTTTATCAGATGGAAATTTCTCTTGGGCTAGCGAAGGTGTTGCAAAAAAAGCAAAGATTGTCGAAGTTGTTTATCATCCATCAAATAATGAATTAGTCAGAACCAAAACACTCACCAGAGGTGTCATTGTGTAAGTAGATGCTACACCATTCAAATAATTTTATTTAAAAAAATACAACATCGATTTGGGAGCCAAAAAGACTCAAAAGAAGGTAATATTATTTAATTACTCCATTAGGACTAACCAGCACCTTAAGAAGTCAAGAAATCAAACTCATTAAAAAAGAAACTAGAAGCCAGATTGAAGGATAGAGTTATTGATAATTTAGTTGCTGAATAATTCTAAAATCAAAGACTTCTAGTCAGAATCACATCAAGACCGGGACAATCTGGCAGAGCCGACGGTTACATTCTTGAAGGAAAGGAACTTGAATTTTATGTTAAGAAGGTCGAATAAAAGAAAAAATGAGTTTTTCTCTATTCATAGTACATTAGTAATAGATTTATCAAGTAATATTAATTCAATTAACTCCATCACACTTATGCTTCAGTTCTGATTACATTACTATATGGTATAGCTGATTATTCCAACTTTTTTATCATTAACCCCTTTCTATGTCTTCTCGCAGAAACTATACCTTATATGGTTGCAATATACTATATTCTTCATGAGCTCCTAGAATGTTACATTTTTAATTTTAATATTTAGAAATAGTAATTTTAGTAGTATAATTTACATTTTGATTATTAGATAATGTTTCGAAATTAATTCAATAAAATCTAAGTTTGCTCAGTTACTACATTTGATATTAATTTATTTTAACTCATTTGAATGCACAATCTTCCATCTATTAGCAATGCCATCAAAAAGTTTAATGTTTACACTAGACCAGTCAGTTTATTATTATTAAAGGAATAAGGTCATAGAACATATTTGGGAGTTTTTCTAACATCAATATTAGTGAGTTTAGTAGTTCTGGTTTATTATAGTGGTCTTGAATCGCTAATTGTTAGAAATAACCCAAGTGCTATTAGTTACACTACCTACTCTGAAGATTAGAAGCCATTTTATTTGGCTCCTTAAAATTTTAGCATAGCTATAGCTCAAAAAGGCAATGACCTTATGGCTTCATATATCCTAGAAGGATCTATAGGTTAAACAGATGGGTAACATTCTAATACATTTTTAATAGTTTGACCATCCAAGAAATCCCCATGTCTAAATGTATTGATTTTTAATTTGACGATCCAACCCTCAATGCATATTTTGATAAGAGTGATCAGATTTGGTACTGCATTGATTGGAAGTTTCTCACCTCGATTGTCTTGGAAGGAGGTTTAGAATCCTCAAAGGATAAATCATTATAAATCAAAGTCAAATAGTGTACATCTGCGTAATAAATATAAAATTTATTAGAAGTACCTAATGCATAGCCCCTAATATCATGGATAGTGATCAGTTCCTATTGAAAATGACATCAGCAAACACTGACATTTCTAATTTCAAAAAGCCTGTGAATTTAATTGGAAAGTCCTTTGTCTTAACATCATTGCTAAACTTTACGAAAAAACTCAATATAATATTGCAGCCACAATTGACTTAAACTGATAATGGATATATTGTATAAGATTAATATGAAGAAACTATGTTGTCAATTTCAAATTACTATGAAACAATTTAAGATAAAAGTTCAGATTAATAAATTTTCCAAATAAATATATCTTTAGATCAAAAAACATTCATAACATAGAGGTCTTATCCTAGAGTATATTAGTATTTAGGAGACATTGGTGGATTTTGGGAAATTATATATTTGTGTAGTTTATTATTCATAATGCCCTTCAACAATTTATCCTATCGAGTGTCTTTGTTGAATGAATTGTTCAACTTTGAAATGGATTATGATAATAAAGTACACCCTGATAATAAGGGTAAAGCAAAGGTGAGAGAAATTTTAAATAAGTCAGTTTAATTAGAGAAGTTTAATAGAATGTCAAAAGTGGCTGAACATGATGCAAACTAAAAATCAAAGTTATTGGATCAAATTTCTAGTGATATCACTTAATTTTTTAAAGAACAAGAAAGTCGTCTTGATCTCCAATTCTTTGATTATTTTGGGTGTTGCCAATGTAAAAAAGGAGGGAAGAGAGAGCTCATAAATTTTTCAATGGGGAAAATCACGCACACTTTAGATATCACTTATATAATAAAGAAATTACAGGAAATAGATAAATTGAAATTGATTTTGTTGAGCTCAGATCAAATTAAGTTATTTGATTATTTACCTAAACCAAAATTAGGATTGCATATGAAGGCAAGTGAAAATGAATATTGTTCAATATTGAAACCTGAATAGTCAGATTTAGATAAGGCTTTAGAGGCTTAGAAAGCATTTTAGTAATTGTAGGATTAGGATGATGAAATAACACCTAAATTAGTGAAGCTGTTGGATGAGGACCTTGTTGCCTTATTCAAATTGCAATTGAATAAGGGAGTCAATAGATCTCTAAAGAAAACAGGTTAATTGGCTGACGCAGTGTAATAGTTGATGATAATGAATGCAAAGGAGAAGGAAATAGAGAAGACTAGCAAAAAGAAGAAGAAGAAGAATAAGGAATCTAGTAATTCAGAGAATTCCGAATCCTCAGGTTCTGAAAATTGAATTATTAATAAAATAATCAAATGACTGAATTTAAGTAAGATTTGAATGATTCTTAGCTTTGTATTAGTTTCTTGAAATTTTCCTTAACTTCTTAGGACTTCTTTTCTAGATTCAACTTTTGTTCTAGGCTGGAATTATTTTTGCGTATATTCTAGTACTCTTCTAATAAGCTTGGGTATTGTGGGTATAGATGTGAATTTTCGGATATTAAATTCATACATTTATTAATTAATCTAAAAATTTATTCATTTGTCTTTTATTAATGTTTTTTTTATTTTGTAATAAGTTGCTTAAGTGTTTTTATTGATAGAGTTTTATTATTTTTCTGTTGCGAGACTGTAGTGAATTCTGAAGTTTGTATAGTTGAACAAGATGTCGAGTAGCAATTCTGGATGCCACTCCATCCGGAATCAGTATGAAATTTCTATTTATGCTTACTTGTACAAATTTAACTTACTGATTTTGTTTTAGATTGTCTATGCATTTTCACATATTCAATGAGATTTCGAGTTTGCTGGTTTCGATGGATTCGAGCATCGATCTAACTTGATTTGAGAGAAGAGGAATATTTTTTAAGAAATTCCAATTTAGAACTAACGAATTCTCGACTTACCACAGACAATTCCTAAACCATAGTTTCTATAGTGGGGACCAAATTAAGGAATTCCTCATCAAGAGCACCACATTAACTTAATATTGATTGCATTTTTATTTAACGAACAAATAATTATCAAAGTATGAAACTCACGATTGCGTCATTATTATAATAATGAAATTTTTAGGATTAGCCCTTCTTTTCACAATAACCCTTTGTTAAAGCAGATTATCGGTAGATGTTTATACCGAATCCTTATGTCCCGACTGCATGGAGTTTCTGTTGAATTCCTTGACAGAAGCAGTCGATACTCCCGATATCGAAGAAATGGTGCATATTAGAGTAGTACCATACGGAAATGTGAAAAGAGTCTACAATTAAGCCACTGGAAAATGGCAATTCACATGCCAACACGGAGCTGTTGAATGCTATGGAAATTATGTCCAATTGTGTGGGTAGAACATCTTAGCTACAAAATATCCTAATGACAACGAGATCCTCCAAGTTCAATGGGCCATCTGTATTGACAGGAGAATATTCAAGCCTTATACCAACACCCGTTTCGATGAGGCAGCAAGTCTCTGCGCAGCCGATTTTGGAATCTCAGGAACTGCCGTCAAAGAATGCGCTAATGTATTTACTATTTAAACTTTCAAGGGTGACCAAGGTTACAAATTGCATCTAGCAGCAGCCGAAGAAACAGACGGTCTATCACCAGCTCATAATTATGTTCCTTGGATTACAACTAACAAGAGACACATTGTGACCGAAGAGGATCTTATTTTGGAAGACCTAGTTGCTTGGGCTTGCACAAATTATTAAGGACCAAAAATTGAAGCTTGCACCACCAGAAGTGCTTGATTAATATAAATAACAAATTAGTCATATGATGAAATTGTAGTCTGGTTTTTTCACTTTGTGTTTAGACCTAATTGATCGATTTATATATAATACAAGAGATTATTGAAGCATTCCTTTAATTCATTGGCAGTATAGGGTAAAATTTCATACATTTTTGGAGTGTATTCTTTGACTTGAAAGATACAAGGCTTCAGCACTAGGCCTTGGTTCTACTATTAGACTAATTCTGGTAATCTCATTCTTGAAGGAGTAATGTAGGATCTCGATATTTCTGTTAAAGATCTCTTAGACTTGTCCGATTTTGCTATTATCGCCTTTCGTGAATTCGGTTCGACTGAAGTGTAATTGATATCGTAATCAGGTAATGTGGGCAATTGTTTGGCCTTGAGTTTGTCCTGAGATGAACCAAAGGCTATGTTGGATCTCAACTTTTTTTTTTTTTTCTTTTGCAACCATTGATGATTGTAATCTAATGGTTATCTCATTACAAATGAATTAAACCTAAGTTAAACATTACTTAGTTATGAGTTTTGCATAAATTATATAATATAAGTATTTATTCATTTCTTCTTCTTCCCCTTCTTAGTGGCTTTCTTGGGTTTCTACTTCTCATCATTCTTATTACCCTATTCCAGCTACTTATCATTCTCCGCCTTCTCCTCCTTTTCATTGATCACCTGCTGCTATTGCTAGATCTACTACTCCTTCTCCGCCTAATTGTTCTACTCAAATTATTGCTTCTATAGCTTCATCAACTCTTCTCTCAACTATGCTGTCTACTTCTCAATCTCCTCTCCCTTGGCCTTCTTCTCTGCTATTGCATCTTCCAATTTAAACTGTTCATCCTTAAATTTCTACTCCTGCGTATCCAGCTCCTTTTGTAACCTTTCAAACTCCTACTCCAATTCCTTCCTTTTCTGATATACAACCTAATAGTCATTCCTCTAAGCATCTAATTCCTGCTATTTCAATTACTTTGATCTCTCAAAGTCAGCCTACTTGTCCTCTATTATCTTCTTCTTCTTCTCTATTTGATTCAGCAAATCAGTGATTCTCTCTTGCAATCCAGCCCTTTTGCTTTATTCTTACTGCTTAATTCTCTCCATCTCAACTATCACCTACGATTTCTTATCCTCAATCTATAGAATCTCCTTCTCCTATTATGACAACTTATCCTTTGCTATTTAAATCTTCTTCTATTCGTATTTCAATCTGTATATTTCAGTTCTGATCTTGCTTGGCTCCTTCTCTTCTAATATCTTTTAATTTCTCAACAATATCTTCTGAATCCTATTTAAACAACATAATGATAATCTATTCCCTGTTACTTACAAATCTATTATGACTTGATTCTTCTCTATGATCTCCAAAATCAGCTTCTCCACTTTCTCACTTATGTAATTATCATTCGCCTTCAAATGAGTGAAATTGGTAGATTCTCCTATGAATGTTAAAAATGTCATGAACTAATTTATTCATTTTAATTACATACCCCTTAATCTGCCACTCTACTTGATGATACATCCAACTTCTCCATTATCCTATTGTTACACAACATAATCATTGACTCATCTCCCAACAAATTCTTTGATAAATTTAATACTTTAATCTGACTATTCGGTAATACATCAGCCAAATATCTAATTCCATCAGGCGTAATGTCATTCAAAGAGATATCTAATTCAGATAAAGATTCACTCTCATAAATTGCTGCTGATAACACTTGCAGTCCTTCATCTCTAATTTAATTTCCTCTTAAATTCAGTGAAATTAATCCAGATTATTGTTAAATTATCCCATTTGCCAAGTACTCTACTCCTTTCGGACCTAAATCATTAAATTCTAAATTCAATCTCTTCAATGTTCTATTATTCATCAAATACTCCTGAAACTTAATTGTTGGACGAATATTGTTCTTAGACAAATCCAAAGATTCTAAATTCTACCCATTTAATAAAATAGTTTCTATTCCTGCTATTTTCAAATCATTTTCTGCTATCTTTAAATGCTTAATGTTCTAATTGGTTTTCAATGCTTGACCAATAAATTCTCCACCAGCAGTTGTAATCACATTATCTTACAACCTTAAAGTTTCAATCTTTTTATTAGACAATAACAATTGGGCTATATGTTTTGCTCCTTCAAAACCAAGAGCATTTTTTCGTATGCTGCCATCTAGCACTCCCAAATCCAAAGCTTTCAATGTCTGATTCTTGCAGAGGTCATCTATAATCTATCCCAATCCTATATGGCTTATCATATTGGAAGCTAAGTTGAGATTCTTGATCTGGGAGTTAGCTAATAATGTTTTGATGGCATGAACTGCGTAATCTCCTAATGTATTGTCTGCTAGATTTATAGTTGTTTAGATAGGCTTTTGATTTGCTAAGGCTATCAAAGTTGTAACTCCTAGTCTCATCGAATATAAATTCAATACATCAGGGAATTTTTTTGAATTGATCTTATTGAACTCCTCTTTGAAGATTTTTGCCTAAATATTATTGATTCATACTCTTTCAATTGATACAGTTTCACCCGTGTCGTGACATCTGGCATTAAAAAGTTCTGCTTATAGCTCATCCAAAACTAGAAATGCTGGATTTTTCTAAAATATCTAAGGTAAATTGGATGGATCTCCACCATATGCTATCAACTTTTATTGTTTTAAGAATTCTATCTCTTTTGTATACTCGTTTGTTGCCAATTTGGGTTTGGCTGTTTGAGGTCTCATTAATTATTAATTATAATACTCATTTTTATAATTCTTTAAGTGTGAATATTACTAATTTCAAGCAATCTTCTAGTAGTTTCTCAAAAGCATCGAATTAGTTTTTATTGGTTCTGACATTCTAATACAGTTCTATCACTTCCCCAACCTTGTTTGCTAATCTCTCTAATTTGTTCACACTCAGAGCATCTTAGTAAAGTTCCTAATTCTTGATGATTTAATTAATCAACTCTTAGACTTCATTCTACTACAGATAAACCAAAGAACTCTTATTTTTATATTACAAATTCAAATACAGAATTACTAAATACGTTTATCTCTATTCATATATTATAAAATACATTTGATCTAATTGAATAATCTTAATTTATAAAAACTCTTTTTTATTTTCCAATTCTCCTGATTCACATTTTAACCACTTTGTTTCATAAAACTTCCTCATTTTCTCTAAATAACGTTATTATTGTATCAGAGAATAATCAAAATTAGCAATTAATTCAAAAAATGATGATGGGTTTTCTAAGAATTACACAACAATTTTATTATTAGGTAATTATTTTTTGATATCATTGATATAGATTTAAAATTTTTACTTTCTCAATTTCAATAATTAAGTATTTTCTGAAATAAAGCTGATTAAATAGTTGATCCCTTGCTCTTTTTGAGGCAAGGGTCTTTATAGAATTTCAGGTTATGTCTTAAATAAATACTCAGCCAATAACTCGAATTCCCGATATCTCCTATTAACTACAATGTTTCCTGTCCTTATTGGGTAATAGTAATGGTTATTCTTATAAATAGGGTCATCAACTAATATAGTTTGGCTGATTTCTTATTGTTAATCTGATAATAGATTAAATAAAGGGTTATTTGTTGTTTTATCTTTTAGAATGTTTTTCATATTTGCATTAATCATTGCTTCAATATGTTAAGCTATGAATTAATTTAAATTTGATTACAATCCACATCCATTTACATTTTATGATCAATTTTATTTATTTTAAATAATTATAACAAAATTCACTAAGGGTATTATTGGAATTGTCACTCAGAGATGCAGATCTCTAATGATTAGATCTGAAATCGAGGACTGTAGATTATATATATATATATTAATGATGTAATTTTGATATTAATAACCATTTTAAATCACCATTCCATTTATTAAGTGTCTTCTACTTTAGTTTAGAATTGGTTCTTTTTAGTAGACATCTTCTCTCGCTCCCTGCTGTTGCTTCTTTCTCTCCTGGGGTTGTTTAACTTGGGGCAATTCTTTTTGATATGGCCGTTTTAACCACAATTATGGCATCCCACTAGTGATAGAATTATATTTTACTTTTAGAGTCTCCTCCTCCATTTCTACCTTTGTCTCTTGATTGTCTACAATCATTTGCATTATGGCCTCGCTTATTACATTTGGAACACACAACATTGTCTATAAATAATTACGAAAACACTTACAAGAAGATTCTTCATGTTTGACTCTTTCTTCCTTAGTCTTTTCTTTTTTAACTTCCCATTATGAATTATATTGATTCAATCTATCGTTGGGTTCAGGAATAGGGGGTTTGGTTCTTCTGACATAATCCTTATACTCTTGGGTTCTAAAGTTCTTCTTAAACCATAGGGTTAAATCCTTAAGATTATTCTACATAACCGAATGGAAACTGAGGCCTTCAGGCTTGACTTTGATGTACTCTTTTTCAACCTTGTTCTTTTGTTTCATGTACATCAACACTATGTATTGTGGAGCCTTGTCAGTGACACAAAAACCATAAGGGATGATTTCTTCATCTTTTTCCTTGTCCTCCCTCAACTTCCTTTCCAATTGTTCCATTGAGCCATGGTGGAATTTCTTATTGTTGACAACAGCTTCCATATGGAGATTGCAAGGAGTAATGTAGCTTTCATAGATTTCATCAAAAGATTCATAGTTCTTGCCATTCAAAACAAGTTGAGGCTTGTAACTCTGAGCAGTCTTTAATTCTTAAACATAGAGATGAGAAATAACTCCTTCATAGAATTTCCATGTGATCGTCAAATGATCCTTAAGTCTTTGATTTGGTCTAATGATGTACTCTCCGACAGGCTAGCTTTCTATGTATTCAAGAGCTCCTTTGAGAAGTACTTATTTGAACTTAGGGTGGTTGATATTTCTGAGAATCAGCTTCTGCTATTGTTTCTATTTGTTGGGCATCTAATCTTAAGGAATAGTGGGTTGATCAAAGTCTTTGAATTTGCTCTAATCAAAGGTTTGCATGACCTTGGTGCAGTAATCTTCATAGGAGATATTGGAATAAGGCCATGGATCATATTTGGATGGTTTCAGATACTCTTAATCCCATCGGGACCAATCAGATTTCAAAGACAACTCAATTATAAGGATATTCAAACTATCATTCTTATTGTTGTTTTCCGTGGCTGGTATCTTCTTCACATAGGCTTTAATGATTTATCCGATACCGAATTCCTATTGCAACATATCTTCTCTGCGTAGAGTACCACACAACCCATTATCTGATAATTTAATCAGTAACTTATCAGTGTCCTTGCTCTTTTCTTTGCTTTCTATTTTCTTGGTTATTTATCCTTGGACGATGCTGTTCTTACGGAAAGTGTAAGGGGACTCTTGAGTGATGGCATAGAAAATCTCAGAGTTACTCATTTCCTTATTGGCAGTGTCAAATTTATAAAGGAAAGGATTAGTTAATTCCTCTTTCATGAATTGAGCTACTAAAGTGAACTTCTCACTTCCATCCTTCTATTCTCTTTGTTTTGCCCAGTCTTCCAATTGGAGTTCTTCCATTTTTTGAGGCTGACTCATCAGTTGTCTCACAATAGTATTCTATCTGTCCTCTCTGCCGCCAACTTCTAAGGCACATTTGGCTATGTGAACAGCATCAGAATACATTTTGATTTGCATTCTGGTTATATCTAATGGTTAGATGCCTCTCTGGATTTTGATAAATCCCTATACATTTTTGAATACGACCTTCTTCAAAATCTGAGTTTTGAGGATATCCTATCTCTAGATTTGGATGTACTCTTTTTGATCTTACTCCAATTTGGAATAGATAAGTCTCTCATCTTCATAATTATTATTAAAGAGACTCTTGCTCAATAGACCTTTGACCATCGTTAATAGATGCTTGGCTTGTCTTCTTCCTAAGCCATTGATGAATTGCATTTGATCTGCCAAGTGTTTATGCAGAGTACAATCAACCAAATCAACTCCAACCTAATTGACTATTTCAGTGGCAGTCTACTTTAAGGCGTCAAGCAACACTTACTGACTGACCATAGCTTGTAGAGGGTGTAAGTTGAGATGCAAACAACCATTCTTATCAATAGCATCACTCCATAGATTCAAGACTTCAGCCATTGGATTAAGTTTGTATCTGGCCAAGGAAATTGCCTCCTTCAATATTTGAGGAATGTCTGGCAATTATAAATTACTCTTTTCACTCATACTGTAGATCCTTGAGATTTATGAATCTGCCAAAGTAATCCAAACAGAAGATGTCTACTAGTATTTCTTACGTAAATCAGCTCTTAATTTCAGACAGTCAGAGTGATTGGCAGAGATGACAACAAGATCTGGTTTGTACTTTTCAAAGAAGTTATCTAAGAGAGCTTATTCTTTTCTGATTTATTCCAGCATTTCAGTTCTCCTTTCATCTTGGGTCAAATAATTGAAGATTTGGAGAGTTTGTTACTCACCCTTATAATCGATAACTGACATTCCAATGTATTTCTTTTGGATGGAACAATCTTGAGAATAAGCTTTGAGCACTTTGCTGTCTGTTTGTTCCGATCCAATAACCAAGGACATGATTTTGACATCTGGATTAATGGTCTATTACATTTATTGGTTGTTACCAACTTCACTTATATGAGGTTGTTTGTTAATGAGTTATTTAAATTTTTGTTAGCACATCCTCACAATATGTTTGGATGAGAGAGTTTACAATTTATATTTGATTTATCTTTCCAAAATGGGATACCATATTTCTTGCAAGATACCTCTGAGAACGAGATCTCTAATTCTCAAGATATTCTCTTGTTCCTTCTATTGATCGTCAATCTTGACAAATTTATCATACAATAACACCATAATATCGTCTTTTGGAATTTTTTCCTTTTTGTGATCTTTGTCTTTGGAGATTGCAAAATTAATTTTGATGTATCCCAATTGTTCTGCTCTGAGACACTGCATCCAAGTTTGATCCTCCATGTATTTGTATTGTCTATGTCTGATTCTCTTGACTGGGTAGAAGTAACTCACAGCAGTGATCTCTCTGTTACCCAGTTGAGTGGGCTCAGTTGAGATCAGCAAATTCTCTCTATAAATCTGACTTATGTAATCCCTGATGAAGGGATGATGATAGAGTTCCATCATCAAATACTTTTATAACAACTTTACATATTCAGTGCCGGAATCTTGGGATTTAAACTCTGTTGACTCCTTTAGATGACTCCATAAATCATCCCAATCCTAAATGATCTTTCTTTCCATTGGCACACTCATGCCTTACAACTTAACGAAGAATTCATCGGAAGTGTAACAGAAATTCAAGGCCGCCTCATCCACTCTCTATTTAATGTACTCCAACATGGCCTTCTCCTTTGTGTGAGCCTTCTTTTTGCCATTCAAACTCAGATTCTACAACTCCTTTTGAATGAGTTCAGTCTTAGAATTGACCTAATCTTATTCCTACTCCATGGTCTGACCCAGCAGTTGCTTCTCCTAGTTCTCTCTCTATAATTCCTATTCCAAATACACAATCCTCTTGCAATTGTGTTTCAATATTATATAATCAATGTAATCTTTCAGATTCTACAGATCCTCGATTTCCTTGGCCTTCTGTAGATACAGGTTGGCTGTATTCTTCTGAGTCTAGTAATTTTCAGGGATCGAGTCAATTAACTTCTGTATCCTGTTCTTAAAATTACTGAAGTGTTCCCACTCATAATCCAGTTCCCTTATTTTCCAATAGTGCTCCAATAGCAAAGCTGAGTTTATGAGATGACGTTTGTAAGTGTAGATGTACATTATGTCCAGGTTTTCCTTCCTGTAGAACTCCAAAATCATTTTAATTCCAAGCAAAACATCAGGTATATTTTTTATATCGAACTGAGACACCATCTTTTCTCCTATCCATTTCCATTGTTATTCGGAAGCCTCCTCTCTTGCATTTTACATAATCTGCCCATTCGTCATCTTCATGTAAGTGATTTGGATAGATTCAGGCACATCCTATTTAATTATCTCTTCATCATTTTAGTTCAAAAATGCCACTTCCCGTTGACTTGGATCAAACAATTTATTTATTAGCTCATTTTGTTCGTTCTCGTCGATCGGCTCCTGTGACAATTGCTCTTGGAAGGGATCCGCCTGAGCATCTTCCTATTCTACTTCATCATCATCCCTCTCAATTCTCTACAGTCTCCTCTGATGTGTCGATTTCTTGTTGTCTTCTATCAACTCCATGTCGTCGTCTGACAACTCTGCGTCATACGACTCGTCCTAACTTTAAACATTAACCAATTTATTACTCCTCCTATGCCTCATCCTCGATATCTTCATCCGAACCCACAACAAAATCATCCTTCTGATAATCGTTTCCTCCTTCCTCTTCCGATGACTCCACCTTCTACTTGCCTTTTCCCATAATTTAATATTATTAATGCTTTTAAAAATTGCAGCTTCAATTTATATTACTAAAATTTTACAGCCATATTAATAAATTTTATTATGCAAAACGAAAGGTTGTAACGTCTCCTCAGATCCAAAGGCAGCTCCTACATCACTCAAAATCCACCCTCCGTCTCCCCCTACTCCAAACCTACTCAGACTTCCACCCTACAACCCAACAAATATCTAACCAACTACGCAGTCTAAAAGTTATAAAATTAATCTACTCATATTACTATGTATTTCATCTTTACACTCTAGAACACCCTCCACAGAAAGAAGAATCATACCCACTCCATCCAGACCCCCAATAGCCTTTGTACCGCATCAATCCTCCTCAGTCTCCCCCATTCGTGTTGTTCAATTGTCAACTGAAAGAGTCCAACAACCCCAAGAAATCCATGAAGTCCATCACTTTGAGAGACCCATCCAAGTTGTTGCAGTCGAAGAAATGGAATACAAATACAAATTCAAAATACAACAATTGGAATAGATGGTCTATTAATTGTAGGTTGAAAATCAAAGAATCAAAATCAACGGAGCCTGTATTGAATAATCAATACCCATTGACAACCCCAATAAAATTACAGAATTGGAGAGAATCAACCACAATCTAAGACTCTCAGAAGATAAATTAAAACTAGAATTAAAATAAATCAAAGAAGAATTATAAATCTGGAAAGATAGGTATAGTTAACTACAAAGATAATCATCAAATCAAATTGGATTCAATGAAGAGTTGCGTCAATTGAAAAAATAAATAATGTAATTGGAAGAGGACAATAACGATTTGCAATTGCATCTCAGAGACAAAGACCAAGAAATCTTGAAGCTAAGAACCATCTTAAATGAAAAGGATGATATCATTGATCAACTTAACGATTAAATCCAAGAACTCTAGATAATTCAAGAAAACTACAGTCGCGTTGAAACCACCCTAATATCCCTACAAGGCGAGGTTGATGTTTGGAGGAAGAAGTTCAAAGAAAAAAACGAGGAGGCTTCAGAGTTGAGTGAAAAACTAATCATGGCTGAAACATCTCTGGAAGCTATGAAGAAGAGATAAGTTGTACAAGTCAAAGAAGTTAACGTTACTAAAACTAGTAACAATAAAATTGGCAATTCTATGGCATAATCTATTGAAGCCCCAGGAAGATTTTCGACTAATCGTGGATCTCATTATTCAAATAAACAATAAACTTGATTTACTTCTATTTTGTGTTATTTACTTATGTAAATTATTAATATATTAATTAAACATATTATTCGATTTCCTTTATTTTCATAAGGAATAATCATTTGACTTATGTGATATGTTAAGAATTTAATTATAAAATATAATATGAAATTACCTAGCATTAATAAACCTACCTCAGCACAATCAGCAAATCGACAATTACCACCAAGGTAGAGTAATAATGCAATAAGCAATTTAGAAAAGAATCTATTTAATAAACTTAATGAATATGATGATTTAAACAAGATTGATACTAAGAAGAATTAGGTTGTTGAGGTTAAACCTAATAAGAAAATAGAGAATTCTTATGATGAGATGGACTCATTTGCAAGGAAACAAAATGCTCTGAAAAATTACAGTCAGACAGAGAAGATCAAAGATTTGAAATCATCTCAATAGAAACAACCCTAATAATAAGACACTGTGTTTCTCACTCATAATTAGTAAGTAAAATCGGAGGAGTCGAACAATGATTAGGAGGATAGCAATAGTGACAGCAGTGTTGAGGACTTGTTGCAGAGGAGTAGAGCATTGGATAAGCAGAAGAAGGTGATGCTAAATTACGAGGATGATAGCGAGGTTGGTTAGTTGAATAGGATGCTATTTTAGAGTAAGATTTGAAACATGTATAATGATAGCTGACATTGATTTGGATGAGTAGTTTTAGAGCATGTGCAATTTGAAAAGAACTATCTCGCAGATGCAAGACTCGATGAAGTCTTTGGGGTATGGGATTAATGAGAAGTTGATGGATGAATTGAATTAATAGTATGAGGAGATGATTAAGCTGCAAAGGGAATCCTAAGTAGCTAAGTGAATTAATTAGGCAATCGAAGAGTATTAAATGAAAGAGAGCAACTCAAAAAATAAAATGCCTGCTTTACGTTCTCATAGTGTTAATTAAACAAAAAAATAGAAAAAATGACAGAGATTTAAATATGATCATATATGATATCACTATTACATTTTATTTATTAATAAAAATGTAAAATCCAAATATTCCACAATATGAATTTGATATTACAATTTATAAGGATTACTTGAAGAATAAGATTATTGCATTGTTTGAGACCATGCCTGGCAATAAATAGCTAATTTTGAGTTAGAGAGTCTTGCAATTACTTAAATTAAGCATAGAAAATAAATTGCTATAAGAGAGTGGGATCAAGAAGACCTTGACAATAGAGAATATAACTTAAATAGAGAATGACATCACTCAGATCTTTATCATCATCCCCCCCAAATTGGATGTAACAAGGAAGATTGCAAAAATGATCAAAGCTGCCAATGGTCCCAACAACACTTACAAGTTGGTCTTCTGGCCTTCAAGGACAATCCTAGCCAAGGAATTATTGGAATAGGAGGGGGTTTTGAGTAGTGTGGAAATAAAGGATTTTTCTTTTGATCTCATTCCACTTGATTTGGATGTATTGAGTTTGGAGATGCCAGATGCATTTAGAGATATGATGATTGATTAAGATTTATCAATTTATAATTACGTTGCAGATAGTATCAATAGAATACAGATCGTGATGGGCAACATTCCCAACATATATTGTAAGGGTGATGGAGCCAAGATGGTTTATGATATCATAAAAGTGGAGAACTCCTAATCGGATCAAAATCAAGACTCCTAAGAGGTAGAGTCTCTGATTATATATGACAGGAGCATTGACTTGGTTACTCCAATGTTGACCTAATTGGTGTATGAAGGATTGATAGACGAATAGTTTGGTATCAACGGAAACTTGGTCAGTCTACAAAAGAAGGTATTCGGAAAGGAAGGGTAAGAGGGAGAGGAATATCAAATATTGCAATTGAACTCGGAGAAAGACCCTTTGATGTACAAGGTAAGAGGATTGTAAGTGGCATCCTTAGCCAAGTATTTGTATGAGCAAGCAAAACAATAGGAAGTGGAGAAGACTGAATTTCAGAAAGAAAAACAAACCCAATTGAATGAGAGGATTGTGCAATAAGCAAAGAAGATCAAATTGGAATAGGAGTCCAATTCAAGACGTATTGTATTAATTTATCGTTAGATCTCAATATCAGTGGAAAGATTGCAGAGAACATTAAAACAATCTCCTTCTACAAGTTGTTGAGTTTGGAATAAGGAATAATCAATGGAGATAAATCAGAGAGAACTCTGGATTACATCGAAGCTATGATTCAATTAGAAATGGACTTAAACAAGGTTGTAAGGTTGTTAGCCTTGAGATCCTTAGTCGATGGAGGATTGAAACAAAAGCCCTTCGATTATATGAGAAGAGAGATTGTTCATGTCTATGGATTTAAGACCATTGCTTTCTTGAACAACTTATCGAAGGCAGGCATGGTCTATAAGTCTGATGCCAAATAACTGTTCTTTAAATTGCAGGAGTAATTTAAGTTACTCAACGTGGATATCAGATCTGATGACACAGACCCTAAAGATCCCGCTTATACTTATAGTGGTCATTGTCCTTTGATGTACTTTTAGTCTAATAATTTAGGGCTCGTTTGACTGAAAAGGTGTTTGATAAGGGATCATGGAAACCTTTCAAAACTCAAATGCAACTCATTAATGGCTTTCAATTAGAGCCAGAAAGACCTATCAAATTGAATATTCCAGGCAAAAAGCCCATTGTAATAGTGTACATACTTGGTGGAGTCACTTACGGGGAGATTGCATCGTTGCGTCTCTTGGGAAAACAATTTAACAAGGAAGTTATCATTTGTACGACTAACATGACTAACGGGACAAAACTTATTTCATCATTGAGAGAGAGAATTTGACAATTATATAAATACATAGACAAGCTGTTATTTAATATAATTATTTTATTTATTTATTAATGTAAACAGAATAATTTTTTTTTGATTCTTCAAATACGAATGATAAGAATCAGTGGGTTAAGCTAGACTCTATCAAGAGACCCATTTCCACTATCAGATTATTCGAAGGGACCCTATTCATGAAAAGCAAGAAACAAGATGTTTTTAAGCCTAAATTTTTTAAGTTGTTTTCTGATAGGCTGAACTTATATAAAGTATGATACAAATTAATGTCTAGAATGGCAGAGAGTAAAAGGAAATGGCTGCCCTATTCTTAACAAACGTATATTTGGACTTAAGATTTCTGGGCGAATAGGAAAAAGATAAATTTCCCATAATCTTATTAAACGGAAATCGAAAGTTGGTGTTGAATGCTCGGTCTTAGGAAAGCCAGACCAAATGGATTGAATAATTCAAAAAAACCTGCATTCTGAACAATTATAGGGGGGTCTACACTAATATTAAGGTGTTGGGCAAGGGCACCTTTGCAAAGGTAATATAATGCATAAATAAGGTTTTATTAGCTGAAAAAATAGGAAATAAATCCAAATTCGCTGTTAAGACCTTCCAGAAATTAGCTTTGATGGATAAAACTAATACTCAACGGGTATTTCTAATGAAAATAGTTTATAGTAAGGATTATTAAATGAAATAAATTTGTTGAGATCATGTGATCACCCGAATATCATCAAACTGTATGAGATTTATGAAAGTGGAGATTATATTTATTTAGTTATGGAGTTGCTGGAGGGAGGGGAATTATTTGATTTAATACTTGAGACTCCCTAATTTATAGAGTCTAAGATAGCATTAATCATGTTCAAAATATTTGATGCCTTGGAGTATCTTCATACGAAGGTATTATTACTACTAACCAATCAAGAACATTATGCATAGAGATATTAAGCCAGAGAATATATTATTAAATGATAAATCAGACAATTTCGATCTAAAAATAGCTGACTTTGGCTTAGCATCCTACACTGAAAGTGAATTACAAATCAAAAGATGTGGCACTCCAGGGTATGTAGCACCAGAAATTCTATAAGATTAAAAATATAATGAAAAAGTGGATGTTTTCAGTGCTGGAATTATACTCTATATATTGTAAAATACTTTTAAAATGATAGACTGACTGGCTAAGCCCCATTTTATGGCAACAGTTTAGACGATGTGATAGAGAAGAACAGAGCATGTCAAATCAATTTCAAAGATTTAAAAGTATCTCAAGATGCTTTGGATTTACTGTACAAAACATTGGAACCAAATCCCTAGAATAGAATTTCCTCTTTGGAAGCCCTCTCTCATCCCTTTATCTCTAGATTATATAAAAGATAAATTACTAGTATGGATGATATCCCATTGGATGACTTACCCAGTGATAACTATAGTGCTTTTGAAAACATGAAGAAATTTTGTCAAAACGACATGAGATTCAAAGTGTCCAAACTTAAAAAAAATGAGTTGCTTCAACAGACTCCTTTCATGGGAACCAGAGAATATGACCCAATCAAAGCATCCTTTGATAGCTGGCTATATGAAAAAACAAATGAAATGGAATCCAAACAAACTATACGGACTCCCTAGATTCAACAACAACAATCCTCAGGCTCTGAATTTTCAATTCTAAGTACTCCTGAATCAAGAAGAGATACCTAAAAGTTTATTCAATTGAACCCATTGCAGTAAATAGCTTATAAGCAATCACCTAATTAATCGATATACTCCCCTAATAATTAATAAAAAGAGTAAATTCAAATGAATTTCAAGAAAGCCAACCAAGTTAGAGATTAATTAAAAAAAATAAGTTTTTGATTAATTTAAAAATTGTTTTATTTTGCTAACCAATGATTGTTATTAATTAAGACTTATAGTGATTGTCATCATTAATTTATAACATAAAATAATTTAAATCATATTGATCTAACCCATTTATGTTCTCCCCCACCAGTCTAAAATTAATACTCACTCTATACCTAAATATTTGTTAGAATATCAAATAATTCATGTGATAATTCACCTGCATTCAATTTTTAATCATATTAGACTTCATAGATTTTATCATTATATCCAATAGCCTCGATTGGCTGAATACTAACAGCTGTCCCAGATCCAAACATTTCGATCATCTAAAATAATCATTAAGATTCTCATACTCTCCCCTCCTCCATTGCCTCAACGACCTCTTAAATATACAGTTTCTTCTCTATCACCTTAAACTTCCCCATATTTCTTGTGAGTTCCTTTACATTAATCAAATATGATTTACCAATATTGAATCTCTTGAAATTCCTGGTAAGATTGTCCCATCCAAAATTGGTGTAACTAGTTCTTTTTCTCCTTATTTGTTTTTCCAAAAGAAAAATAAGTTGCAAACTCCCATTTCTTACACTAAACCATCTGGCAACATCCATAAATTTTAATGGAATCCAATCTTTTAGACTTCTTTCAATGGCAAAACCGTTGGAGCATAATTACCAGCAACCTTGTACCCTCCAACTCCACCAGGAGCTGATCGAATCTAATAGATAAGGAAGATGCTTTACTGTTGATGTATTACAGAACACTCTAACAGGTTTTAAACCAGATGGGAAGTAAGGACCAACAGGACACAATACAACAAATAATTTTGCTCTACTTGATGCCCTGACTCCCAATGCCTCTTCTGTTGCCATCAATGTTGGTCTAATATAACAACTAAATCCAGGTCTATCTGGAATCCAATCTCTATCCACTTTTAATAATTGTTCAATGCATCTTTCTAACTCACCACCATCAAAATCAGGTAATGACAATCTCTTGGCAGATTGTTTCATTCTGTACATATTACAGTTCAACCTGAATGTCCTAATTGAATTGTCCGGCCCTCTATATGCCTTAAAAAATTGATCGATTTATTTACTTTAGCCCCTTCAAAACACTCAATTGCGTAATGTAAACATGCGGAAAATGGATGGATACTGAAACTCTTGAATGGCACAATCTAAGGTCGGCTCCATCTATTAAGAAATTAATTCACTCATCTACCCCATTTTCTCTGACCAATCAATCTCTAACAAATGATCAGTATGAAATGCTCCGAATGTCATTATTTTAGGATCGCAAGGTGGTTTCGTAATATAGTGCATTGTATGAGTGGTTGTAAGATCTCGAGCCTATAATGTGTTTCTCTATTTATTTACTTAAAATGATGGATATGGACAACTAAGATCTAAGTTAGAGTAGTATGAAAATGAAAAGGCTGGTGATCTCCAAAGACTTCTTAGCATCATTTCTATTATATTTTTTATTTCAAATTTTTCATTTCATCATAATTTAATACGTAATATCTAAATAATATGACTCTAAACAAATTTTATTTAATTTTTTCGTCATCAATAATTATAAGTTTTAGTATTATTTTTATTGGAGATTAAAATATCCACTATAAAAGTAAAATGCCCATTTAATTTCAATAATATTAAATTTTGGCAAAGTTATTATTAGTTCTTTCTCTTTATTCTAATAATTGGAGTTCAATACATTATATAAAATGCTTAAAAAGTATTAATTGATACTAAATTATTTAAAAATGAAGATTCTATTGAATGACATAGATTTTTAGAAATAAGATTTACTACATAATAATAAATTATGAGATAAATAGAAACAATACATATGACTAATTTAATTTAACATTAAAAATGTGTCAATTATCAGAAGATTTTGATTTCTGCCATTTGTTAATGAATAAAAGAGCTATTTTAATTCGTTAAAGGTAAACTTTAAGTATTTCGATTACATATTAATCATAGATATTTGGATTAATAAAATATTTATATTTTTTTAGTGTTTAAATTTAATTATATTTCAAGGATTTTACTTATACAATACAATATCTTGATTAATGATTTTAAGATAAAAAATGCGTATGAAGAATGTTTTTGATCTGAAAATAAAATAATATTTAAGAATTAATATAAATTTATAATATTATATTAGTGAAAATTATTGTTGAATTCTATTATAAATAATTTCTAAAGATTCTAATAAATTTTGATGAACTTTAAATAACGAAATTTTAATAAAAAAGATAAAAGTATATGTTTCATTAACTAATAACTTATTCAATAATCTTTGATTAAAATTTATATAAAATACTTAGGAGAGTATGGCACCTATATTCCACCTATTACAATAATATTTATTTGCTCTTTGATCAGAAATATCTGATTCAGTAAGATAGACTGAATAGATGTGTTTCACATTAACAGCTCGTTACTTTATGTAAGAAATCATATCTTGCTCCTTTTAAGGTTAGAAATCTTATTAATCAAGATCGAAAGCTAAGATGTAAATAGCAGTTTAGAGAAAGTAAACTAAATAACACTTCTAATAAGAATTTACCATTGATAATAGGAGCATAATTCTAAATAGAAGTATCATGCATAAGAAACTTTACCATATGAACAGAATCCTTCCCTTGTATTCTTTTTATCGCTAAATCAAGACACAGTTTACTAAATATAATGAAATATTTAATTACTTTTTCAAAGGAGATATCAATTCCTCATTGAAATCTTCATTACTATTTTTACGACTCTACATGCAGAACATAGTAAGAGATTGTTTTATACATTCATTGATATCTCCTAATATCATAATGTGATGAGTAATAACTTCATCACTTGATTTCAAATGAATATCGGGAGGAAGTTCAGACGTATCAATATAATCAATTTGATTATGACCGTGTTCAAATCCTTCAATTTATTTTGTGGAGTACTCTTAATCATTAATTTATTTCAATCCATTAACCCATTTTAACTTTTTGTCATCATAAAAAAGATTAGTCTAATTCTACCCAATAGTGGCAAGCTGATAAGTTTATGTTTGTAAATACCTATATATACTCATCTAAATTATCAGAATCAAAAGCACAGCGTCTGCGTCTTGACATAAAAAATTAATAAAAATAAAATCATATATTAAGAGTTAATTCATTAATTCTTTGGAACAACCAATATTCCTTTAGATCAAAAAGTTTTCTAAATTATATTTATATGCAGCCAAATTTTAATGATTATATCATATGTTCATTACAACATCATAAATCTTTATGTTAAACCGATTAACAATATATATTGGTAACCTAGCATCGAAAATTTTGAATCAATCTATAATTAAGACTTTTAAGTTATTTTCTCTCATTAAGATATAGCATTAATATATTCCATTATCAAATTGCATATAATCCTTGCTCAAAATTGTAGACAATTACTTGTAATAAAAAAGTTATTTTAATAATTAAAAAATAACAATCTTAGTTTTTTAAAGGTATTGTGGCTATTAAAATTTAATCAAATATAAGGGAGGAAACAGGTTCCTTTATTCTGCAACTATATTATTTCTACAAAACCATTTCTATATGATGCTAATGAAATGAATCCATAATTTAGTTAATATATAGCCCTATATATGAACAATTATTTATGGTTATGAAGTTTTAGGAAAAAAAGTGATTAAAATTAGTTTTAATTTCATTTTTATTTAGATTTATATTTTTCATAAAATTTATGAGCCTTTTGAATGTTTTCTTCTTCTATTAGGCCATAATCTAAACAATACTTGAGGGCCAATATAGATTCTGGTTTTTCTCGATATAATGATTCATAGTATATTCTGCATGGATCATCTTCAGGAGGAGTTTCTTTTTTTTAATATAGCTTAAAGTTGTCCTTGTCGTTTTCAACACTTTCAGAATTCTCATCTTCATCCTATGAATTTTACATATACTTTACATCATCTTTTGCTTATTTTTTTTTTGCATTATTAGTTGATTTGCTTTAAGTTTGAGGTTAAGGTTTTTTTTGTTTACCCTTTTTTTGGACTTACTCTTCTTAAGAATCTGAAGCGTCTTCTGATTCATCATCTTGTTATTTTTTTGCTGATAAATTTGATTTCTTTTATGCTTATTTTTGAATTTTTTTAGAAGCTTTCGGTTCATAAGACTCTTCTGATTCCATTTCATCGGAGTCTTGCTTTTTTTTGCCGTTTCCCTTTTTTGGAGGCATAATATTAATAAATATTATTAAAAATATTAGTTCAACTTTATTGAGTAAACAATAAAATATGGATTAGTTTATTAAAAAAAATTCTAATCAATTAATAAAGAATAGCATATTCTATTGTATATGAGTGATTTCAATATTATTGAAGAATTATTACAAAATAATATGTTTTTGAACAAGGTTTAAGTAAAAGTGATAATAGACATCTAAACTTTAATTTTAAGAAGGGATTATTATAATTACCTTACATAATCATGGAGAAGGAAAATAAAGAAATTGGTTTCACTTTAATCAATAGTGCTTATAATTTGCTAATTTTAAATATTATGATCAATAAAAAATCCAATAACAAATAAAACTTAGACTTATAAAGGCTATGCCACCAATAATTAGTCTTCTCTTTAATCTATTTAATCGATTCTTTCTGTGAACAGCAGCGGCTGTATCGTAAAAGACTTTTGAAGTATCCTCCAATTCCAAGGATTTAACTCAAATAAATAGATAGGATATACTTTCAATTTAACTTAATTGCTCTTTATTGTTGATTAATTTTTCTATATTCTGTTGGACCGATAATTTAGTATTGTCTAACACCTACATGATTTATTTGATTTGTTTGGGATCTTTATTGTATTGTTTCTCAAAATAATTCAGCAGCTGTAGGATGTTATCCTTCTGATTATCATTAAGGATGATATTTCCATTCAACTAATTAGTTTATACTGATATCAATACAATTTTTGATTAGATGGCACTGATGAGCATTTCAATATTGTATTGATTGCAATCACTTGTTGCTAAAACCAATTGGATGATTTCTTTGTTAAAGGGCAAATAATACCACCTTCCTTTTTTAGATGGCAATGAGTCTCTTTTGATATAAAATTGAATATACATCTTCTGAAATTAACTAATGGTTTTGGTCTTGAGTATCATGAGGGTATCTGATAAATCTTAGACAAGGCCAACTTCACCCTCCATTCCTATAAGCTCTAATTTCTCAGCTGTTGCCCATTTTGCCAAAGCAAAAGCTTTAATGTGATTCATATTTATTAATGTTAAAATTTTAAGTAAATATAAAAGGGGAGACATTTGATTTTGAAATATCTAAAACCGCCACAATAGCAGAACTGAAAGCCTTGATAGTAGAGAAACAATAAGTAATTTTTTGATTCAAGTAGATTTCAGCTGCTTTTGATCTCTATATATTTGATCAACTCCTCTCTGAGGAAGGAACTGTAAATAAGATCATCTACAATTGTAAAACAGATTGCCTTGAAGTGATATTCAAGGAGAAGGAGCAATTAAAAAAGTTCCAACAGTTTTATGATCAAGCAAAACCTCTTGTTTTATGGAAGACTATTTTATCAACAATAAAATTTATAGATAATTTAGAGGAACAAAGAAAAAGGAAGACGAAAGATTTAGACAGCCTCACTAAGGTCCTGTCCTTCTTTTAAAATGCACCCAAGTTAATCAAAACTAAAACATCCGATTTGATTGCCAATTTTACTGATCGAGTGAAATAACAAACCATGTTGAGTAGTCATATCAAAATGCAGGAAGATGATCAAGTTCGAAATCAAAATAATGACACTGTCTTAAATATCTTAAACAACATGGTCAACAAGGAGGAGAGAGGTAATCATCATAAAATGCAACTCAAATCTAATAAAAAGAAAAATAAAACTCCTAAATTAAGTCCATAACAAGAATAGTACTTGGTTCGCAAAAAGAAAGCCATCTCGTTATTGTAGGACCCGAATTAGAGTGAAAAAGCTAAGATGCTCATTCAGGAGATGAAAAAACAAAAAGAACAACTTAAATTGAAGAGATAAGAGCAGATAGATAATAGTGCAGAGAAAATAGAATTAAGTTTAGAGCATTATAAATAAGAAAGAGAATTCTTAATGCAATAGATTACTTAGGATAAAAGAACTAGAATTATAGAAAGACTTAATGAAAATTAAAAGAATCATGAATTATAAAGATAATTTAATAAGCAATCTTAATAGTTGATAAATGAATTAAAGAATAGGATGAAGAAACAATAGGATTCACTTAAGAATAAAGACGAATAATTGAAATAAATCTATTTCGAATAAGCCAAAGTATTGTTATTCTTATATAATACATAGCTCAAACTTCAAGAGAAGAGAAAACTAGCCTAACCTATACGATTATCAGAGTTAAATTAACACGAGGAACATTACTTGGAAAATAGGGAAATGCTTAAATTACAAAGAGACTAGAAGAAATTAGAGTGGGAAATCAAAATCAAATCTGAAACTAAACAATTGTATAAGGACTAAAAAGTGTTACAAGAAGTTATGAAAATTGATTCATAAGTTAAGAATAAAGACATCTTGGAGTAAAGGAAAAGATAGGAATTTAAAGTAAGGAAATAAAAATACTCTGAAATCATTTAAGAATTCCACAGACCATCAAATTTTAGTAAAATGGATGGTCAATAATCAATTGATGATTACTCAATTAATTAATCTCGAGATTCTAGAGTAAAGTAAGTAATAAGATATCAAAATAAGTCTTAATTCGTTGATCAACTAGTAAATCAAGGAAATCAAAAGAATAGTATATACTTATTTTAATACTTAGTTAAGAAAATCTAATCAGCTCTAAGTCAGGAACATATAACACAAAAAACTAAAATAACAGAAAGTCTTCAATAAGGCAAAGTGCCTGATGCTAACACATATTTCCATTTGCGTGTGCATACACCATAGAAAATAATAATCCAACAGAGTTCTGCTAAGAAGCAACCAGATTATTTGAGGGAGTTTGAAAGAGAAAGAAAGTCTATGCATCAATCTGCTCTCCCATCTCTTTCGGGATTGAACAAGTAATTATGGTTATTAAAATTGAAGAAAGATGAGTCCCCAATAAGAAATGCGCCTTCTCTAACGATTAGAGGAAGAAGCCAAAAAGAAAGAATAATTAGCTCACATTAGTCAAGACGATGATCTACAAATAGAAGCCACGGATTTATACTTAAAAAGTGTTCAGGCAAAATTGCAATTTTTGGATAAGAAATTATCAAATTTTTGAGTATTAAATATTATAATTAAACAAAATGGGTTGTTCAGTCTAAAAATCAAAAGCTGGGAGACTATAGTAGAATAATTTAGAAAGCATTCTTTAAATGCAGATTCAAGAATTAGTATAAGAATAATAATAATGTAAAATCTTAGTCTATAAATTAAGAGTAATAGGATACCTTAGGAGATCAAGATGAACTCTCAATTTACGATAAAACTCTAGAGAAATAAGTTAAGGTTCCAAAATTAAGATAACCAAGTAAGCATTTTAAATCACTATTCAAGTTTACAATTCAATAGTTTAAAGAAGAAAACTACAATAATATGAAGGGATCGTAAAGTAAAACATAGAGTTATTATGATATATATTTTGTATTAATACCTTTTTTGTAAATCTCAATCTTCCATTTACTGTTCAGTTCATAGAGGTTAAATTTCTAAATAATATTAGTATTGTAAACAAAGTTATGATAATTAAATTGCTAAAAAAACGAATATCAAGCCAATAGTTTTTTCAGAGTTAAAAAAACAAAATAACATAATTAATGAATTAGAATTAAAAGTATATACAAAAATTCTTTTCAGGTTTCATAGAGGAGGTAATCAGTTTTATGTTTTCTCTCTGAATGACAACATATAAGAAGCACAAACAAAACATTTATGCCAAAATATATCCCTAATCCTAATAGGACGTATCCCAATGTTTTTCCACTCGACTCTACAAAGTGCTTGGTTTCTATGAAACAGCTCTCTCCATTGAATGAATCATCATTTATATCACTAAATATATAATAGGGAGCAGGAGTGCACCAGCCAGCGCAATTCAATAATTGTTCTGCAGTCCCCAACAACGAAACAGCAGCTGAGTAAGCATTAACTTCATAACCTGGACATTCCTAAATTTTTTCTATTTTTTATTCAACATTTTTATCAGTTGTATAGTTCTTACCAGCAAATGCTGTTTAATTACGATTCAATGTTTCTTCGGTGATATAGCATTAACAATAGCTTGAACAAAAGATTTGTTCTGCTTGTTGGATTTAAGTATCAACCAATTTAAAATAATCTTTGTTGGTGCATTCTAAATGATATAAATTTCTAACTACCTTATCCAAAGAGATCTGATGAATATATTAGAGTGCCTATTGCTAAACCTGTACACAAAACGAAAAATAGAATAGCCCCGATTTGATAAGTTAATAGTAAACACCCTCTGCAAGATGTCTTTTTCTAAGAGGATCCTTTGGCACCCGCAATTCCAGTTATTAAGATCACAGCTCCCAATATTAGAAGCCCATATTCTGATAACGTTTTTAACCAACTCGCAGTATTAAAATAGAGATCTAATTATATATGTTTCTATTACCTGCATAATTCAATCCTACTTATTTATAGAGTACATACACTCCAAAACCTAAAAGAGCCAAGCCAATTAAGATTATCAAAAAGGCACCAAAACCAACTACCTTTTTCACAAATTTAATCATATTAATAATATTAAATGATATATGCAGATGCTCTTGATATAAATTTACGTCATCAAATTAAACAATGAACAATAGAGATAATCCACAAAATTTACTTATTATATATATATTTTCAATATATTAATACATATGTATATAATAATAAATTATCATATATTTAAACAAGTGACTAACAACTTTTTTAATTCGAAATTACGTGTTAATAATTAAAAAAATATTGAAAAAATTTAATCAATGCAATAACCACAAGGGTAGTAACCAATACAGCCAATCGATTTTTATCAGGAAGAATACAAAGATGCAGTCAGAATGTCTTGGAACACATTACCAGCAACAAAATTGCAAAGTACCAGAGCAATTGTTCCTATGGGATGTCTCTACAGTATCTAATAAATTAATGTTAGCACCAATGAAAGACTTGGAATCACTTGTCTTAGTGCAGTATTCACCACTTTATTGTAAATGTGGTGCCATTTTGAATCCATACAATTAAATAGATTTCAGAAATAAATAATGGACATGTGTATTCTGCTCTTGCAAAAACATGTTCCCAAAACATTATGCAGATCACATTACCGAAACATAATTGCCTGCAGAATTAAAAAAGTCTAGCACAACTATGGAATATATCCTAGCTAATTAATAAGCTGCACCAACTTCTTTCTTGTTTATAATTGATACTTGCATACCTTAAGAGGATCTATAAGCTATCAGGGATTCAATTTAATAAAGTCTGTCCATCATTCCTCCAGATTCTTAGGTTGGGCTTATCACTTTTGGAAGAAATGTTTTTGTACATGAATTAGGTTTCTAAGAATGTCCCAAATGCTATAGTTTTAAGGGATCAAAAGATTACACTACATAATAAATATTGGAAATGCTATAAGTGAGTACAAAACCAGAAATTTTGAAAAGATTCTTGGTTCCCTTAAATGAATGCGAATTTTCATTTAACTCTATTTTGGATGATCTTTAATGCGACCCATGGCCTACTTTACCAGGAGAGAGAGAAGTTAGAGCAAATGGATCTGCATTAAAAATTGGCTCAACTTTGGTAGAAAGTGCTACTCAATTCTCAAAAATTCTCTTTTTTGTTGGGGGACCCTGTACAACAGGACCTGGATAAGTGATAGGGTTGAAATTGGAAGAAACAATCAGATCCTACTTGGATATGTAGAAAGAAAATCCAAATACTCAATATTTATAGAAAGCTAAAAAGTTTTATAATGAAATTGCTTAGAGAGCCATAAAAGCAAGTTTAACAGTTGATATATTCGCATTCACTTTAGATCAATTCGGTCTATTAGAAATGAAATAAATAGCTGAGAAAACAGGTGGAGTTGTTGTAATGCAAGAAAAATTTGACTCTGATGTTTTCAAAGAGACCTATAAAAAACTATTTGATAAAGATGCCTCTGGTTTTCTTAAGATGGGATTTGGATCCAAGATAGATTTATTTGTATCAAAAGATATAAAAGTTTAAGGAGGAGTAGGGCCATGTATTTCATTGAAGAAGGCAGGTCCTATGGTATCTGAAGTATCTCTAGGAGAGGGTGGAACAACAAGTTGGTATACTGGTGGTTTGGATAGAAACTCCACCATATTATTCCTATTTGATTTATCATCCACGAAAGACACTTCATTTTCTCAAAGTGCTTACATACAATTTGTTACTATGTATAGACACTCTAGCAGATTGTAAAGATTGAGAGTAACTACAATCCAAAGAAGATTTGCAGATCACAATAACATTATGGACATGATCAGAGGATTTGATCAAGAAGCTGCTTGTGTCACTATGGCAAGAGTAGGTATTCTGAAGGCAGAATCAGAAGAATCCATCGAAGTCTTAAAATGGTTAGATAGATCACTAATTCGAGTTGTCGCTAGATTTGGATCATATAGAAAGGATGATGTGAGTTCATTCAGATTCCCATAAGAAATGATGATGTATCCATAATTTATGTATCATCTTCGAAGATCTCATTTCATCACTACTTTTGGTGCTTCACCAGATGAAACCACTTTTTATAGAGTAAGTATTTACAAATTAATCTTTAGGCTTCTTTATCAAGAGAAAGTGTTCAAAATGCTTTAGTTATGATTCAACCTGCTTTGCTATAATATACAATCGATGATCCAGCTGCCAATGCTGTCAATTTGGATATTCAAAGTATGAAACCTGATGTGGTATTACTTTTGGATACTTACTTTAATGTTGTTGTATGGAATGGTGAAAATGTTCAAAAATGGATTGAAGAAGGCTATTATGATAATCCTGAATATGAATATGTTAAAGAGTTGATAGATGCTCCCAATTCAGACGTACAGGTAATCATACATTCTAATATTTTCAGTATATTTTGGAAGACAGATTCCCTGTTCCTAAATTGATTAAGACCTATTTTGGTCATGGATAAGAGAGATATTTAAAAAGTAGGGTGAATCCATCAGTCAATACAGTTCAGAATGAAAATGTAGAAAGTGGTAATTATATCACAGACGACGCAAGTCTTAAAGTATTTACGGATCATCTTATTCGCTTAGCTGTATAAACTGTATAATGAATATATAAAATATCAAATAATAATATAATAACGAAATAGTTTGATAAATATTATAAAAATTATTTAACCATAATCAATGAAAAATCGTTATGAGGATTTATACGAAACCAAAAACTAATTGTTAGGCTAGGGTGCTTTTGCTTAAGTCTTTTTGGGTGTTAAAAAATCAAATAAATAAAAGGTTGCTGTCAAAATTAGCAATAGAAATCTAGCAATTTCATAATAAGAGAAGATGATTCTGAAATAACTCTCGCAATATCGGCATTAAAATGTAGTTCAACTTTTGGATATTTTTGATTAACAAGAAGCCTTATTTATTGTGCAAGAATACTGTTCTGGTGGAACTTTATATGAGATGATGACAACCAAAACCTTTTCTGAAGAATAGATTGTTAATATCGCATTTCAAGTAGCTAATGGTTTGTCCTTTTTACATAGTAAAAACATTGTTCATAGAGATATCAAACCAGAGAATATTCTCAGGCAAATTGATGAACAAGGAATGGAAATTTATAAAATCACCGATTTTGGACTAAGTAGTGTCAAATTAGATAGAATGACCACCACCAAAGTGGGAACTGCTTATTATGTAGCTCCAGAAATTTTAGATAAATAATAGTATGATAAATCTGTAGATATTTGGGCACTCGGGCTTATTATTGATGAATTACTTCATAAAACACCATTCTATAATGGCATGTCCGAGGACGAAGTATTCTTTAAGATTAAAACTACCAATTATGTTATTAGAGATCAACAATATGCACAAGCCACTATATTTGATCATAAGAAAAATGTCATCAAAAGTTTATTATTAAACTCCATTTAAAAAGACCCTAAATTAAGGAAAGATCTTAATTGGATTATATAAACACTCACTGAATACTATCTCTAAAGTCCAAGTAATTTTGAAATACAGTCGAATACTAACAATGATAGATATGTTTTTGCGGATATTTCACTTGTTTCTTAATCAACACTTTGTGAATAAACTCAAAATTTCTAGTTACCTTCTTACTCAAATGATTCTCAATCTTATATAGAAGAATGTCCTTTCCATCATCAACCTATCAGATATAGGATGCCAGGTATTAATGATAATGCAGTCACCAATGCATGTTAAAAATGTCTATAAATCTATGGGATCTTTGATCAATAAGAATTTCAATCATATTTATCATAAACTAACTGTGAATTAAATTCATTTTCAGTAGATTCCTATTTTTCTTAAAATGAAATTATCATAGAAGCACTAAGCTATTTAAATTAATTTAAGTTGTTTTAGGAAAAGGAAAGGTTAGTCTAAGAATTGAGAGGCATTGTGATTAAGCATCATAGAATATTAAGACAAGAGTATGTTCAATATTAAGAGGACGTAAAATCCATGAACACAAATGCTAAATGGATTAATGAAGCTTTGAAATTAAACCTAACAATTTCTCAAGATATGCCGAATAAAATCATTCTTTACTTAATCTCTAAATGTTAAGAAAGAAAAGAAATATCTATTTAAGAATGTAGATAATTTATTAAAGAATAACTCAAATTACTCTAACAATATATTGAGTCTATATTATGAAATTGTATTTTAATAAAAGAAACCATAATTATAGTCAGATTATTGGTTAATTAAATATATTGTAATTATGAGAGGTCTATTTACAATTCAGCAATTCCAATATTATATATATATATTGAGTATTTTATATTAATTATTTTTTATAATGAAATAAAAAAAATAGTAGTTAGGAGAAATCAGTTTTAATAAACAATATAATGAATCATAATTAAGAGAAGTATGCATTTATATAAGAGTAGATTATTCAAAAGTTACTAGCTAAAGATGCCAATTATAGAGTAGAAATTGCCAAATTAAAAGAATAAAACATGGAAACTATATAAAAATATCATAAGGCTTTAAAATAAATAGGAGAAATGGAGAAAGTACAAAAAAAAGTATGAAAGACTAAATTAAGTTAGGATTAAATGTATATAATGCAAATAGATGGTTTTTTAATGGAGGCTAAAAAGAGATTTGATCAAAACAAAAAATAGCAGACGGATCATTATGTTGATGCATTATTAGAAATGACCAAACAAAGAGATGAATATCTTAAACGAAATATTCAACTTGAAATTATAGTGAATGAACTCAATGAATAAATTGAAAAATTAAAACGTTAAACATCAATTATTCCATCCGCCAGTTAATAATAATTTAGCAGTCCTCTAACTGCAAGTGAGGAAGTGATATAATATGAGAATTAAGTAAATCATCGTAAAAAATCATCCATTTATTCAATGAATACTTAAGATTCAATAATAAATGATGAAGACAAAGAAGATCAATTGATGACATTTCTACATTAACTTGATGAATAATAAGCCAATTAGTTGTATAGTTTATTCAGCAGCTTAAACACTGATCTCGATTCAAAAATCAACAAGAATGAACCATTATATCAGAACCTAATCTCAAATACGAATCAGCACAAATTAGTAGAACAACCAAGTTCATTCAGTTTTTCATAAAAATGGAATGACAAGGAAAATCATTATTTCTGATTTATTCTACTTATGTTAAAATAATATTTAAAATGACTTTAACAATATGAATTTCTGTGGGAAATTAAATTATAGCTCTACTTAATGGTTCTATGGAATCATGTTGAAAGTTATTAAATCTACATATTAGAGCAATAAATCACATCAATATTATTGAATTTACTTTATTGTTTTATTTTTTATAGTGAATAATTAAATGTAATTTATATTAATATTGGTTCTCGCACTTACAACACTATCATAATCAATCGATTATGCTTTATCAATAAAAAATTCAAACTCTTAACCCTGGGAAAGAATAGGGGAGATGAAAGTATCTAGATCCAATTTTTAAAATGCCCAGATCAACTTAAATCAAAATAGATAGCAAATAGTAGATCGCAAAAAAATGAATGAAGTAATATATACTGTGTATAATCAAGAATACTTATGCTTTATTGAAATTGTAAAATTTACAAGATGAAAAATCTTATATTGCACATATAGATGGGAAATAATTATCTCTTTTTAATTAGAAATCCAATTATTAAGAAATAATTACTTTAGTTTTATCAAATAATGATTTATTATCTTTTGATTATGCATTAAAACCTGTAAGGAAAAATGCCGAAACCTATATCCAAGTTTAAGTTAAAGATTTGGAAGTAGCTCCACAAGGATTAATACCACAATTTGATGAAAAAATTCCTGAAGAAGAAGAATAAAAACCGTAGGGAATTTTCGGAATAATTTTATAATATGTAAGTACCTCTTCTATCTTTAGAAATGGTATATAATTATTGGATTTTTTGTGTTTTTCTTATTTTCACAAGCTGATCCCTAACAATTAAATGGAACTGCTTAATAACCATAAGAATAAGCATAAGCATAAAGAAGAAGAAACAAATGAGTAAATTTTTATAGTGTTATATAAAAATAATATCAAAATCTCTCTAAATAATATTCTACTACTTTTCTAAAAGATTAGACCAATTATTTGAAGAATGTCTCTGGATGAAAGTCTTGATGAATTTAATTTTAATTTATATGGTTTATTTAGTATACATCATAAAACATAGCATTCTTTTAAGTGAATTTTTAATAATATCGATTGCTAATAGATTAATCTTTGTGGATTAAATAATTGATTTATGATTTTATGATAAATTAATATTTAATGTAAATTAATTGCTAATAAAAAGATTAATAAATTCTACTCTTTACAGTTTTTAGAAAACATTTTTTTCGTGACTAATCTTATTATTTAAAGTTATCAAAGAAATAAATACTGATGAGTCAAGTAAGTTATAATTATATTGAAACAATAGGAGTGTTAATTTGTGAAAACAAAGTATGTTTTAGATTTGAGCCCTGATACCTAATTCGAATGGATTGTAAGAAATCAGTAATTAGTTGGATTCCTATTCCCTTATTAGAATAAAATGAAAGAATTTTTTGGGGACTCCCATAATCTCACTGAGTTAAAATAAATACTTGGTAAATAAATTCTTTTTAAATCTCTAACAATACACTATAAATTAGTTAGGTATTTAGATTCAGGGGCATTTGGCTAGGTATAATATTGTTCTATTTATAGATTTCATTATAATAAAATTATATAAATGGACAGCTAATTGCTATTAAAACATTAATTAACACTAATAAATCTGCGTAATATTTAATCGAAAATGAAATGAAGATTCTTCGAGCACTAAACCATCCCAATATTTTATCCATTTAGGAAGTATTCTTGACAAATCTCACCTACTCCATTATTACTGACTATATTGAAGGAAAAAATCTAAGGAAATTAATTTTAGAGAATTCAGAATTATAAGAATTAACCATTCTTTAAATAGCATAAGTAAAGATTTTGAAATTATTCTTCTAGTAATTGTTTGAAGGGCTCTCTTATATACACAAAATGGGTATTATTCATAGAGACATCAAACCTGCAAACCTAATGTTGAGTAAAAACGGAATGCTTAAAATCATTGACTTTGGATTGTCTTGTTATATTGGCAATCAATTTTAAGAAAATCCTAAATGTGGAACTCCTGGTTTTTGTGCTCCTGAAATTTTACAAAATATTGACAATAACGTTGCTTATGATTATAAAGTAGATGTATTTAGTGCCGGATGTGTGTTATATAAATTATTAACTTTTAAAGGCCTATTTGACGCGAGTACATCAGCAGAAGTTTTAAAGAAAAACAAAAATTGTTTATTTATAATTAAAGAGTAAGGGAGACTTTTTGATTTAGTTAAAACTATGCTTAAATAAAATCCTCTCGAAAGATTAAGCAGCGAGCAAGCTTTATAATTAATTAAATCAATGATTGAAGATGATACTTTGGATGTAAATATTTGGTATAGACTCTAATTGAACTCGAATTAATCAACTTAATCTAATATAATTCTAACACCTAAATAAAGTGCACAAAGCAAATCTCTTTAAAAATTTTAATCAACCCCAAATTATTCAAGAAGGAGCTTCTTTTCTTCTAGTTTAAAAACCTATCGATGATTTATCTCATAAATGTATTCAACCTAATATTCATATTAAATTTTAACTATTACCTTTTCAAAATAATGAAGCCAACATAAGAATATCATATTAGTTTTTTTTCTTTTTAATCGAATCATTTTATATTTTTGGCTTTCAATCAAATATCTTATAAAATTGTCTTATACATATATTACAACTTTCACTTATGTTCATTTATATATAAACTTTGGCTAAAAATATCCCTCATTCTCATTAGAATCATAGTAATAGAAGATAAAAAAGATGAAGCAAAATCATTATAGGTTATATTTTATTTGATTTCTATTAATGAACGGAAATTTTCTGAAAAGCAAAAGGATTCTGATTAAGTATTTAGGATAATTTATTAATTTTTTTAACAAATAATATTCATTCATCCTACACCTTCGGTTTGCTCCATTAAATACTTCATGAATTGCCCTTGGTAATGAATTGAAGCCGCAAATCCATAACCACATTATACTAAATTATATAAATAAAAATATTAGAACCTAAGCATTCTGTCTCTTTTCCTTTAAACTAATCTATTTTTAATGTTTCACAGCTTTTTTGAACAAAATGTTGTAGCTTTTAATATATGATTAATAATCACTTCTTTAGCATCTTCATTCATTAAAATTAATTCTATAAAATGGCATACGAATTAAATCAAGGAAAACTTAGCTTCAGTAATTCATAGAAATAATAATAATCTCAGCTTACTTTAAGAGAATCTATGGATTTAATTACTTTAGAATACTAGAATCTCATTGATAAATTTTCATAAGAAATTTATTTAGAAAAGCAAATCAAAAAAGAAAAAAATGAGAAAAAGTCTGAAAAGCTCAGAAACATTCCCACTTTCACAAATCTATTATAGAAAACATAGCTTGATAGATGAGTTTTTAAATCATATTTTATTTTTGAATATGATGACAGTTTAGTTTCATGAATAGTATTATTTTTTAAAATTCTAAGCAATTATTTAGCAAGATAATTGATAAATAAATAAACTATAATATTTTTTTCATTATTTACTACTTTAACTTCTCTATAATCAAAGCTTTTAGCATTTTGTGATTAGAGATTTCAAGGATAATTGGTATGGAATGGTATATTAATAAAATTATTATTATCTAAAAATATGTTCAAATCTTATCAATCTTATTTATTTAACATTATATAATGATAATATTATACTCTTGTTTTAATTATTGGTTCACTATCTATTGTTTTATTACAAATTGAAATCAAATATAATAATGCTTGTAGTTTGTAAAATATAGATTCTATTAAGCAAAATTTTAACAATCATAAACAGCAGCCTATCAAGAACATTTTAATTTTTTTTAAATTTAGATTATTTTATAATTCATGTATAATAGGCAGAGAAAAAGGTTAATAGTGATTTTGGTATAGATTATCAATTATT